GTAAAGGTGTAGCAGAGATTAGATCTGACACTGAACCAAACTCATATCTAAGCAACATTTGAACATTTCATTGCTACTTACTAGTCAGTTTTGATGGTGCAGCCTGAACACACACACACACACACACACACACAAAATTAAACCACAGTTTTCTATAACATTGGCGACCCCTCAACCAAAAAAAAAAATTGCTCTTAAAAAATTTCCCTGTTTTATGGTCCCCCCCAATAATGAAATGAGATTTACGCCCTTGCTCCCAGCATAGGAAATGGATCAAATCCAATCTGTCCTGTAGTCTCTGCACAGGTTATGACAGTAACCAGTGCAGTGCATTATTTTTTTCCTCCTCATTAAAACAGAAACACGACAACACTTGCCAGGGCTGAGGAGCACTGCAGCGGGGCAAACCAGCCCAGCCGCCAACACACCACCATAACGGGCTTTCTATAAGTATAGAAAGGAGGATCCAGAGACAGAGAGCAGCAATAACTAGGAGAATATTAATACTGATATCTGGACACCGGATGCAGGTTCTAGGTCCTACAGTTCTGGAACAAAATTCCTGAAAACCTGAGATGTTCAGAAACTGTTGTCTGTTTGACAGCAGCATTTCCATAAAGGGCTCGTTCTCAACGTTTTTATTGCTCTGCATGTGTTTTTATTGTTTTTCTCTTTAATTATTTATTAGCAGCTTGAATCATGATCATTTCTCTCTCTGCTATGTGGAGCTGCCACTTACCTCCCACTCCGTCAGGAAGCTCTTCACCTCATCTGGAGCTGCGCTCTTGTGTCTCCTGAACTCTTCCTTCACGTACTGGTCCCCCAGGGCCCTCAGGTGGATGGGCAGGAAGCGGTGCAGGACCAGGATCCTCTTGTACAGGGAGCGGATGGTGGAGACGTGAGCAGACGCCGCCATTGAACCAAACCGAACCGAACCCGGTGTTTCTAAGCGCTTGAAGCTGACATACCAGCCACACACAGCTGCCTTTACAAGGACACTTACCAAAGTTATTGTTTATCCCGGAAGTTCTTCTTTTTCTTCTTCTTTGTGTTTAATAGTTGACTAAAACACTCAAAGAAAACATACTGCCACCTACTGTACAGGAGGAAGCAAGTCGGGACCTGATCTAATTTATGAGGAAACAAGTTAAAAAACAAACACAAATATATGTGTAAACTAAAAATTGAACACATATTATTTATAGTTCTTTACTTCCACCTCCGTCATTACAACTAATCATTCTCTGTCCCAACCAATGAGTGGCCGGGTACCATAAAAAACTGCATATTATTGTCTCTTTTCTGAGGGTGACATTAAACCTCTTACATAAGGTGCCTTATGTAAGAGGTACATAAGGCACCTCTGACCTTATGTAAGAGGTGCATTCCTGCCACCTGAGGCCCTGTGATTAATCCATCTCTAAACAATGCCTGTTATTGGTATTTTAAGATGACAAATAAAAGCAGTCTGCAGATATATTAATCTTCTTAATTTTCTTACATAAACCACTGCATGAAAACTGTTATATTATCTGTTATAAATACTGTATGTCAGTTTTATTCATTCTGCAACTCTGACCTGTCAAACCTTTGTCCTCCTACAGGAAAGAATCACATCCAAACAGAACGCCAGACCAGGTGTAGCTTCTGTGGAGAAAAATAACTGAGAGAAAACAAATCATTAATAATCTATGCAAATCAGCATATATTTGCTGTTCTTTGTAAAGCATAAAACAGGAAAAACAGGATTACTATTTATGGACTTGTACAATCTGCTCATAGGTTTCTTAAATTTGACTGGGAAATGTTTTGCTGCAGCTGGATTGTGTGTCTTCAGTAAAAGAGGAATAAGGCCATCTATAGGTGGGTTGGAAATTATTCCTATAGTCTTTATTAAGAATATCATGGAATAGAAATATCCTTTATTGTCCCACAGTGTTTGAGTTACTTCACTGATACTGACACTCACATTTCATTGTAGTTTTTGTAACTTCATATTTTAACTTTCATGAATGTTTTATTTATGTACTGTAACTCAAGACATTGTTTCTCATTTTTTTGTGATGCTGAGCCAGTCATAACACACACTACTCTGTCAGTTAACTCCAAACACCTGTAAAGCTTTCCTGAACCTTTAGATAGCTTCTCACTCTGGATCACTGAGCTACACAATCATGAGGAGAACTACTAACTGCACAGACAACCAGAAGACAGACCAGTTAATGACACCAAAAGTCATTGCTGAAGAAGCCGCTTGCTCGGAGTTCTGTTTCCAAGCGTATTACCAGAAAATTGAGTGGAAGGAAAAGGTGCACCAGTAACAGGTAGAACTGCAGCCTTGAGAAGACTGTCAAGTGAAATCCACTCCAGAAGAGCCACCACACACACAAACACTAGATATGGGCTGCAAATGTCTCAAGTCACTCCTGAACCAGAGTCACCTGGGCTAAGAAGAAAAGAATCTGGCCTGCTGTTCAGCCTTCCAGATTTATGTTGTCTGATTAAAGTAAATTCTGGATTTCATTTGGAAATCAAGCTTCCTGTGTTTGGAAGTAGAGTGTAGAAGCACAGATTTCACATTGATACATTGATTGAAGTCCATTGAAGTCTCCAGTGTTAGTGCTGGTTCTGGTCCACTGGGTTTTCTGAAGTTTACAGTCAATGCACAGAGTTTCTAGCAGGAAACTCTAGAGCTCCTCCTGCTTCCCTCTGTTAACAAGCTGGATGGACATTCTGATCTGATTTTCCACACTGCCAAAGGTACCAACAACAACAGTTCCTGTTCATGAATGGCCAGCAGACTCCCCTGACCTTTAACCCCTTAGAAAATCTCTAGGCTGTTGCCAAGAGGAAAATGAGAGACATCAGACCCACCAAGGTACATGACCTGAAGGCAGCTGTCAGAGAAATATGGGTTTCCAGAACCTTATCAGAACCACAGACTGTCCTCCATGCCACACTGCATTGATGCAGTAACACCAGAGGAGAACTGCCAAGTATTGAGTCTGTAGAGATGTACAGAGTTTTCAAAATCCTGACGTTTTTGCTTAAAACATGTTTTTAATTTGTCTAATATAATTTTCTAATTTGCTGAGTCGCTGAATTTGGATTTTCTATACTGTAAGCTGTAATTATTAAAACTGCAAAAATGAATAAAAGCTTGAAATATTTTATTCTATGTGTAATTAATATCTATTAAATAACTGTTTCACTTTCTGAAATCACTGGCAAGAAATATTGAACTTTTATGCAATATTATTTTTTAAATGTACTGGTAGATAAGCTGCTGCTTCTCTAACCAACAACACCATAAAAATGTCTGATGGCACCACAGAGGAAAAATGAAAGCAAAAATTAATACATTCCATGTGCTATTAAAGCATGAATTAAATCTTAAATGACCTGATCAGTTTATCACCCTGGAGGTGAATGAGGGACCTGGAAACATTCCAGCTGAACTCCTTTCAGCCACTCCAGGTGCAGCACTGCCATCTGCTGTTCACATGTTAGTACAGCGATCTTAATCAGTACATAATAAAAGGCAGGATTCAAGGGAAATATTACTCAGACAACTTAAACACGCAATCATACATGTTGCATGACACATATTTAATTTGTTTTTGTTTGACATAAATGCTTTTTCATTGAGTATTGTTATAAACACAATATGTAGCAATAAACCCATTTGTATGATTCTGAATGTTTATTATGTATTAGATGTGCCCTTGATATCTGAGCTTTTTCTAAGTTATTTCATGGTGCGCTGATGATGTGAGCTTGAAAGAGAGAGAAAGGTAAGAAAGGAAGGTGACCATTTCTCATGAACCTGCTAAGACTCTTCCCTGCTATGAAGCCATGTCTGACTTTTAACAATTGTTATCTGATGAACGAGTGTTTATGGCACAACAGCTGCTCAACCTGTTTTCTTCAGAACTCTGATGCAGCAGAACCTGCTCAGAAGGCAAACAAGCCTCCAAACTCCTCCCCTCTCTCTTTATTTGTTCCCTCTGATTGATCAGGTACAGTTACACCAGGTCAATGTTGGTTTTTGCTCCGCCTTTTGAATAAAAGTAAGTTTAGCACCTGCTGCTGTTCAGTCAGTCTGAACACTGTCAGCTCATCACTGGTAGAACTAGATTTCATCCGTTCATTAATGTAAAACCTTTATTTATTCATTTATTTATTTATTTGTCTTCAGATGTAGTTATTATTGTTTTTAGATAATTGAAAACTTAATATTTTAAGTGACTCCTTTATGAATACATATCTTTTTCACAGGTCTTTATTCATTTCATTTATTTATTTATTTATTTATTTTTGAAGAATGAGGCCTACAAGTGTGACGTTCACCATCGGGTTGATTTTTGGATATTTGTCTCTTCGCTTGCTGCTGACCTCCATGTTTTCAGTAGAGCTGGTCTCAGACTCAGTGACGTATGAAAAGAATCGACTTCGTGCCTACAAAGTACACACAGGTACGTTCTTATTTGGTAACTCTAGGTTATAAAATGTGAGCTTAAAGTGACCAGAGTAATTATCAGAATGTATGCATTAGCTTTAACGGTTTGTGGTTTTTCTGTGAAAGTAGAAATGATCCGTCTTTTAAGGATTTCATATGCTTGTCACTATAGCTGTTTTTCTGTTTAGTGGAAACAAGTGTAGAAGGTGCAGTCTGACAATATAATATTAAAATTATATTGGCTCAAATAAAATTTAAACCTTATTGTCATCATCACTTCTACAAAGGAACAACACGTTTAAAAATAAATTGATGTTATTATGGCTATTTTAACTATCCATAATAACATTTACCCGTAGTCATTCCAGTGGGTAATTTTTGACAAGAAAACTAGATGCTATAAAAAGATAAACAACCTGCTGTGCAGGTTGGGTAGGTAAGCACTCTGACAAACTCAAGCAAACAAATGCTTCTGACAACATTCATATTCATGAATGAATGTGCTTCAAAGTCACATCATTTATTCTTGTGATTTTGATTAGGGAGCATTGAGATGGTAGAGTATATATTTATTTAAAATAATCTAAATCTGCTGTCTATAAGTTACATTTCAATAATGAGTTTTTAAATCCATATCAGAATGGGTAAGGATTCCAGTTCTTGTAACATTCTCCATGTTCAGTGAATCCACCCTCATTGAGCTCCTCATACAGAAATAATGAGGAGAGAATTGTAATGTTTTGGATGTAATATGTTCATTTCAAATGTATTTAATTTCATGTTTCTCACAGACTTGATTTAGCAAGTGTGAACTAGATGAACATATTTATAAAACAGGTGACTCTTAAGTTATACACATTAAAATAGAATCTAAATCTTTATGTTTCTGATCCCTGTGGCTGTTTGATGATGGAAAACAAATCAGCTTGTTCACTCACACTGTGGTGAGCTGACATGTCGCAATTTTCAGTACAAATACAATTTTACCCAATGACACTGTGATTAACACAGTGTCATTTTTGCAGGCATACAATAATATGAATTCATACATTGAAATCAATTAATTGTTGTTTCATTTTTAACTAACTGTTGAGCAAGTATAGTGATTCCTGAAGCTCCTTCTGATTCATCTTCAGTATTCTGCCCTCTTAAGTTCACATCCAGCTTCACTTCTATTGACTCTGATGAATGTAAAATAAAATTCAACTCTCCTAGTTTGATCTTTCTGAGTTTTCCACTTTTTCAACTTTTTGGTTGGGTCGTAGAAGACAGGTTAAGAAGAATCAGACTGAGCTCATCATACAAAAAGGTGTGAAAGATTCAGCAGGATTATGTACAAACTGTACAATGAAGGCAGATGTCAATAACTAGAGAAAATGTGAAAAAACAGTAATTTGACTCATGCTGGATATTTATTTAAACCTACTGAATAGATGAGACTGAAAATACTCCACCCCTCATGGTAGGGTCACCCATGGCAAACTGGTCCTCAGTGAGGGATCAGACACAGTGCAGCCCAACACATCCCTTATGATGTGTAATAGTAATGGGAACAATGTTCTTCTCTGCTTGATGCAGTGCCCTCTCTGGAGGTGAGGCACGCTGGCGAGCGGGGATGAACCGGTTCTTCTGAGATCAAGACTGAGACTCGTCCCCAAACCTGATGAACAGCCCAGGGGTGTTAACAAAGGCTGGTCATATACTGTAGTTTGCATTAAACCCACTCATCTGCACTGACTGTCAACAGACATGACACAGAAGACGTGCAGACAAAAGAGAGCTTAAGACTGGGAGAGGCTTTGAATGAGGAAATGTGCAATCCAAACAAAAGAGAGCTTATAACTGGTTAATCTGGTTAGTTATGTATATTTAAAAGTTTTCAGATTTTGTTCCATTTTTCAATAAGGGTGTGAGTTTCTGTTTGGTGAGTCTTTGGAGTCATCTGTGAACGTGGAACTTTAGTGAAATTAAGTCATGCTGAAACACACACAGAGGGAGGCTGGTCAGGAAACACCTTGGGATTCCTCAAAGCTGGTTTTACGTTTTCATAAAGTATAAATACCTTCTTATATTGTCTTTATTTGTTAAATAAATAAATGAATGAATATATAGCGTATAATATAATTTTATCTATCATAAAAAATAATAGCTATTGACATGTGTGAAAAGCATTACAAGCAAGCAAAGTTGGAAAGCAAATAAGAATGACTGACTGAAACTTAATTTCATTGTTCAGAGTAAACCCATCCGTTAACGTCTCATCCCAATCCTGCAACACAAACCTGAATAAGTGAAAGATAGAAATAAATACAACAATAAATTGTGTTTTCTTTCATCTTGAAGAAAGCCCAATCTTATTTTAGTTGCTACAGCTACCAGATGCAGTTAGTCAGTGCAGCACCCACCAATGCTCCGGACCTGGTCACCATCATGTTGCAGTCAGTACAGCTGCTGCAGTGCAGTCTCAGGCCAGTCACATTTACACATTCAAGCCAGCTGATGTTAACTCTTCCTGAAGATAGCCTCATATCTTGTACATTACGGTAGTAGAGCAGTAGGACGGCTGTTCCAGGTGAAAAACAGTTATAGTGTCAGGATCTCAGGTTGTTTTGTAGTTTGATTTGAATTTAGTTTCATTATTATTCTGTGTTAGTTTCTTATTTTGTTAGATCAGTCTTGTTCCTTGTTCTTGTTTTTCTTTATAGTGTAGTGACAGCGGTTTATATTAATTTCTTGTGTCTAGTCATTTTTACTTTAGTTTAGTTATGTTTAGCTTTTTTAGCCTGTTCATTTCCTAACAGGCTAAACAACTTCAGCCACTACTTCAGCAAATAAGATTGTTTTAATAAAACTTCCACTTTAAGGTCCTCATAAAGACAAGTGGCTTTGATGTGAATCCTCAAGTTGAGCAAAATAAGCTGTAAACATAATACAAAAGTTTGAACTTGTATTTTGATTGAAATCTCAGTTCATTTTTTTGCTTAAATAAATCTTTGAAAAAATGTGACATTTTGTTGATCGATGGCTTTATGGATGTGACTCACCACTGTTCCACTTCATCCTACACAAAACATTTCTATTATTTTGAATTTTTAGAGGCCAGTCAGAAGAACAACTCTGCAGTGAATCCCCCTAACTCCACACGGATCTTGTGTTGGATTATGACGGGACCCAGGAACCTGGAATCACGGACCAAACATGTCAAGCAAACATGGGGCAAGCATTGCCACCACATTCTGTACATGAGTTCAGTGAAGACAGACTTCCCAACTGTGGAGCTGAACGTGAGTGAAGGGAGGGAAAACCTGTATTGGAAGACCATCAGAGCACTCCAGTACATCCACCAGCACCATCAGGACAAAGCCAACTGGTTCCTGAAAGCAGATGATGATACGTTTGTGGTCATAGAGAACCTGCAGTACATCTTATCCAAGCTTGACCCAGAAAAACCTTTGTACCTTGGTCGAAGGTTTAAGCCTTTCATCAGCCAAGGATACATGAGTGGAGGAGCAGGTTACGTCCTGAGCAAAGAAGCACTGAAGAGATTTGTCAAAGGGTTTCAAACAGGACAGTGTACTCATTTCTCCACAATAGAAGACATGGCTCTGGGGAAATGTATGGAGACGATGAAGGTGGAGCCAGTGGACACCAGGGACGTGAAGGGCAGGCAAACATTCCACGCTTTTCCTCTAGACCATTACATCATACGACAACTACCAAGACCTCGGCCGTGGTATATGATCTACGACTACTATGTTCCAAATGAGGTAAGGAACACAAACCACTGGTTCATAGGAAAGTCTATATTTTTTGTAACAGTATCATGGAAATATAATGCTAAACTGGTTTCAACAGGGGAAGTAACACACTAAATATATTTCTAATGGCAAATCTGACATAACAACCCAGGTAATCACACATACAAACTAATCAACACAAATTAGTCCATTTGTGAATGCATGTGCAATAAAGTGCAATGCTACAGTGATAAGCATTGAATACAATCACATTTCAAAAGTTGATTAAATGCTTTATAGAAAGTCGCAGTTGGTCCCGTTTGCTGAGAAATGAGAGACGTTCATGCTCAGCTGGGATTTTAGCAAATTCTTCACACAAACCAGCTTCTGAAGCAACTTCTATACTCCCAGCTCCAAACCTGTTTTATTTCAGTCTCTGACCAGACATTTTATTATCAAACTAAACCTGCTATGCAATGTAAAAACAATGTCAAAGAAAACTAAATAGCTCTTCACTTGATGTTTTGAAGTCCTGTCTCAGAAATCTTATGAGGTCGCCTGGCTGTGGCTGGTTTATGATGAAATTATAAATATTTCCATATTATCTATCTAATGGCACTGACTGGAAGATTCAGAAGTTTAGAAATGCATCTATTACTGTTTCTGTTGGGATGCTGTAAAACTGTAAGACTCTTTCCTTTTATCAACAGAACCAATCTGTGCAAAAGTTATCGCTTACCACTTTATAGCCGATCAGTCGATATTAAAGTAACAGATATTGATCTCCAAGTAGCTGATGGAAAGCTTTCTAAATCCTGACAAATTTCAGCTGTTTCTTGGTTTCCTCTGTCTTTTTTGCACATCTACTTCTTTATGTTTTGGATACTTATTCTCTGTGTAACATCATTTACGTTTGAACTCTGCTTGATGTCATGACTTGGGTTATTGCCATCTTCTGGTGTGAAAATTAATTTAAATGTAAATGTGAAAAAAAATATCAGTGTGTTCAATGCCCATTTTACGGACTGTGTACTGATAAAGCACGTTGCTTTGGCCTTTCAAATCCAGATATATGCTTAACAGGGGTTAACAGGGGAGGAAATGAATTTGTGATGGAAACATCGTCAAACATTTTGTAAATAGTTGTAAAAAAAACGTGAGTCTTGTGGTGTTGGAGAGAATTTGTGATGGAGATATTGTGACACATTTATAAATTGTTGTAAAAATACGCCTGGGAAATTGTCCACAGTGTGATGTAAAAATATGTATACTAATTAGTTTTTGGCTAAGTTTGTACACAAGTTCTTAAAATTTACAAAAGAAAATTTCATTTTAGGCTGGAAAAATGGTTCATTCAATATTTTTGTAAATTTCATAGTAAAAATATAAAAAAAAAATTCTACTCGGATTTTGATTTTGTGTGTTTTTTTTTTTTTTTGGTCCAATGTGATAATGCATTTTGTCAAAATGAAACAAACACTGTAAAATCATGAAGCTTAGGTTGTGCTGAAAATAATGTTACCAAATAAGGCAAGGTAAATAGTTTTTTATGGTGAAAATATAAGGGTAAATTCAAAATTAGACCAAAACAGCTATTTAGACCCCTGACTCCTAAGGGTTAAGGAGGGACGTTTTAATTTTATGAATAAACATTAATCCTGTTTGGCCCATGACAGAGTGTATGTTGGAGGCTTTATCCCTTTCTCAAACAACATTGTCTTATGATGAGATTCTTCTTCACACTTGGAAATGCTTTAGTTAGGACTAAACCAGCTCACAAGTTGCACTGAAGAAAGTACGACTGATTTTAGTTATATTTACATTTAAAGCTTTTTGGCAGTGCCTTTTCTTCAAAATGTCAGTACTTATTGCTTGTGCTCTTCTGATGTACAACTTCATTCATAGGCTCAGTTATGTTGATTCCTCTGTATGTGCAGATTACTTGGGTTGTTAAAGACGTGTGAACTTTGTGTTCATGCTACGGTTGAATGAAATGAAATTAACATTTTAAAGTCATTTTTCCCATTGGACGTAGAAATCTCTAAAGTACTGAATATATTAAACACAGTATTAATGATTTTATAAGCTGAACCTTAACAAAATTAAAATAGTAATAATAATCCAAAACAAGCCTCTGCTCCCAGAGGTCATTCGTTCTCTGCATGATGTTTTCTGTTTTCTATATCCAAAACCTCACACTGCATGTTTTGAGTCAAAACTACATGAAACATTATGAAACGGCTGTTTTTCAGGAAGCTACTAAATGTTTCCTTTCCCTTTTTCTGTTTCCTCATCTCTACAGGGTCCAAACTGCTGCTCAGATTTTATTGTTTCTTTTCACTACATTTACCCTGTTCAGCAGTATGTGCTGGAGTATTTTACCTACCATCTGCGACCCTATGGATACTTACATAGATTCAGGCCTGAAGAAATTGTGGAAGAGAACAACAAAACTAACAAAGGAGGATGAGAAGATGAGTGGAATGGGAAAAGATCAAGAAGTGGGGTGAAGTGGATGAGTGAGGAGGAAAGGGCTTGTGCTTGGGGATGTGGATCATTATGAAAAGGGTCCAGATCCCTCTTCATGTGAAGTCACTGGAATGACACAGAAGAAGAGATAGGGAGGACAGAGAAGACAGCAAAGGATAGATAAGAAGAAAGAAGGCGAGAACGAGAGCAAAGAGGTTTTTGCCCAGGTGTGGCTACCATCTGGACATTTTTCTGAGCCTGAGATAACACTTAACGTCATTTAGTCAAACATTAGTGGAGGAATAATTAGACTTCCAACACACCCTTCTGGTAAACTACAGCAATGTTTCCTAGCTTCCAGAAAAGGCAGGGAAGCAGATCATGCCACCTGGACTCTCAGTCCTTAACTGTCGAGTCTCATTGTGTTTGTCTAAAAGCCGTAACAACAAAAACATCCTGGACGTAATTCTAAAGCAAACATCCCTTTTGATCCTGGTATCTTTATGCTTCACTTATGATCAAAGAACTCTGCTATATATTCTTCTAATATCCAGGGAGACGATCACTGTCACCTGAAGTCCGACCTACCAAATACAGATCCAAGGATACAGAAAATTTAACACATAATGGGAAAATTAAACTTCTCAACTACAACAGAAAGATCAGAACTATGAAGGGCAGTGCAAACCTATTGTGACTTCTCTTAACGGAGGTGCATTGTTTTTTACTTTTACTCTTATCGGTTCCCTGTCTTATGTAAATTGTCTCCATTTTCATCTGCCATAAAGTAAAACAACATAAAAAAAATATAGGAGCACAGCTTTGAAAACAGATAAATAACCTAATGCATGTGTTTCTGTTTGGTATGCAGTTTGACTTCTGAAACCCTGAGAGGGTAAACAACGAGATTATATTATTAATTCAATAACAATGAGACCATTTATGGAACTGAACTTCAGTCATTATACAGTTATTCTTTCTGTTGTATCAAATTCCCATGAAATGATTCCAGTTTTCCTGTTGACTCACTGAAACCAGAAATTTACTGTACAAACGTGCTGGATGTTTGTACTGGAAATGTCTGAACATAGCACATAAGAAATGAATAGATTTCATTTCCTACTGTCTGACAATAAAGTAGACTAACATTTTTCTGTTTTAGGCCAGTTAAAATGACCAAAGTTTGCTAAAATCCAAGGTGGGAGACAGATTGTTTTTATTTATAGATTTCATTTTCAACTTTCTGTACTTCTTTAGGTTTTCGTTTCTGATATTGAATTCCCTAAGTTATTCTTATAGTTTCCTTAAAACTGTATGACATCAGTCAAACATTTCATCAATGAGCTTCTCACAATGGTTTGCTGGGATTTTGGCCCATTCCTACTGGCAGAACCGGTGGCATCGGGTCAGGTTTGTTGGCTTCCATGCTCATGCCTAACTTTTCAACTCCAGCCACTTTTTCTCTTGAACTGAGATAATCCTTTTGTGACCATATTTGTGGAAAATTTGCAATAAACTCAAAATGATGCATTAGGATGACAAAATTCTGAACTCTGTTGTTTTTGTGTGAATATCTGTATTCAGACTTCCTTCTTAATCCCTTTAGTACTTAGTTTGATGCTTTTTTTTAGGGTTTTTATCCCTTTTCAAACTTTGTTTGGGGCATGGTTTTATCTAGATTTCTGAGGTCTTTAGATATTGCTTCAATATTTCTGCATCAGGTTGTTTGCCCACGATGCCTTCTGTTTTGGAAAGTGCTCCAATATTTCACAGTCCTGACTGTGAAATATGAACACGACGTATTATATGACGTGTTCAAAGATCAAGCTGTATAATACTGCCATGGACACGTTATTAAAGTCTGGAATACAAGGTCTATTTCCTGATACGAAGCATAAAAGAGCACCCGTGATTAGTAAAGGTTGTTGGATTGAAAAAGGACAAAGTCTAGACAATATTATCACTATATAAAAAAAGTTTATTTTACTCATCTGTAAGCTATTCCTTCAGACACATACACAAGGATAAACAGTAAAAGACATTTTACAATGAGGAGTTTTTCATGCATCATTCACCATAAAGCTGCTGCCAACTGACGACAAACTGAAGTATAAGAATGGATAAAACTTTATGTAAACATTTTGTAAAAATACTAGTACTCATACATAATCACTTTTACAATAAACCAGCTAGACCAAAAATATTTCCCATACTGTAATTCCCTAAATATAAAATATTTTATACGCATGAAAAATTTGTATATATTGAAAATCATGTTTAAAGAGCAAGTAAAAGAATCTCGATTCTGTTTTGCAGTTTTTATTAATTAGTTTAATAAATTGACATAAACTTGTCATTTATTTAGTAATTTCATTTTACGGAGATGGTGACCTCATCATCTGTCTATTGTGTAGTGTTAAGAAAATAAATTTAAAATAAGCTAGTTTTAAAACTTAACATGTCTTGATTCAAATGGCCTAATTGTAGTTTTAAAATCAGTAACTTATTCTGGCTTGTTGACCTTTATGTTACCTGTAGTTACAGCAGATTGCTTGCTAGGATCCTTTGAATGGCCTTTTGTCTGTGTGGGAAACAAAATGCAGAAGTTCCAACTTTCACACCCATCTGTGGAGAGTCGTAAACACAGCAGGAGTTCCTGGCTTCAGATAAAGGGTCAGAGATAGCTCCTGGTTGGATGAGCAAAGATACGCCTATTTGAATAAATTAAAGATAAGAATACGCCCTGAGTATAAAACTTTCTCCTCAGAAGTAAAAGATCAGATTTGCTCCTGCAACTCTCCAAAGACGTCTTTGGACGTCTTTGCTTTTCTTTCTTTCCTTCTTTTTTCCATGTCTGTCAGGTAAATGAATGTATGTCTCTGTTTTTCTGCTGTTCTGTTGTAATTTTATGCGTTGTCTTCTTTTGGATTAAACTCTGCAATTCTGTGACATCAACACGCATTGCTGTTTCTTCTGAGTGGCTACATGTGGCCGTTGCGAGAAGACCCGGGATCATAAAGGGAGAGAGAGAGCCAAACTTTTTCCAAAATTAACTAATTCAGAGAAAGTTTCCTTAACACTAGCAACTATACAGAATTCAGTAAAGATAGTGACTTGCAAAAATATTCACACCACTTAAAGGTTTTTACATTTTATTAAACTACAACCACAATTATTTTCCAGGGATTTCAGGTAAATGACCAACACATAGCAGTGCATAGTTATAATTATATGTATTGTGGAACAAACTTCCACAACCAACTTGGAAAAATTTAATGTTTCAATTGTTGATTTTTTATGTTTTTATGAAGTAAAGCACTTTGAACTGCCTTGCTGCTGAAATGTGCTGTACAAATAAACTTTGATCATTTGCTTTGAACATCTACAGGCTGAAAATGTTACCTTCTTTTTTTTAATAGCTCATTGTCAATCAAATTGACTTGAGAGTGTCAATGAATGTCACATTTCTAGAGGAAATATGAATTCTCAGAATCTCAGATTAAGGTCTGGACTTTGACTTGGCCATTCTAACATCTTCTTTTATTTGAAGGGGTGTGCATAAGACTGTCATGACATTGTCATAAACATGACATAACACCTGTCATGAACATAAAGAAGTCTTTATGGATGTTTATGACAGTTGTCATGAAGTGTCATTCGGTAAATAATGACACTTTAATGCAAAGTTGCTCTAAAAGTTGCATTGAAAGCCCATTAAAATGCCAACTTTGCATTCAATTATCATCATTTACAAAATCATACAAAGTTGGCACTTTTAATGGACTTTTAATGCAACTTTTAGAGCAACTTTGCATTAAAAGTGTCATTATTTATCAAATGACAATTCTTGACAACTGTCATAAACATTCATAAAGACTTCTTTATGTTCATAACAGGTGCTATGTCATGTTTATGACAGTTAGTGTCATAAACATGACACTAACTGTCATGTTTATGCACACCCCTTCAAATAAAGTGTTACCAATTTTTTTTTTTTTTGGTCTAAGGCAGTCCATAATCACACAGTTTCCCACCACATGTAGCATTTTGGTTCCATAGAACAAATTCTGCTGTGTCGCCTTTATGACTTGCGGAAAACTGCAGTCAAGACTTCTAAGTAATGTGCTAGTTTGTGTTGGTCTATTACATGAATTGCTGAATGTTAAAGACTTCAGCTTTCAGGAAAACATGCTGCTATTGTCAGCATGGCCTCATTTAAAGTCTTTTTGTCACTTAGTTACACTAAAATGGATATTGACTTATTTTATTTGTATTTTCTGAAATTCCTGTAGATCTGATGTAATATGTTGGTTTTCTTTGTTCTACACATTTTTGCAAGCTGGCATTACATGAAAATATTTCTACTTGAATTAGACCAAAGACAGATACAGATAAATCAAAGTAGTTAAAATGAACTACTTTGTGTTTAACTTGACAAGAATTCAACAGATTTTCTTTCTGTGTAATATTCCTGAGATGTCTAGTCCTGAATTTGTGCTTTATAAATATAATTGGAATTCAGTGAAATGTCTGACCCGGCTTAACTCAGCACCATTAGTGGTAAACTGGTGAAGCTTTAGAACATGAATAAAGTTTTATGTTAGCCTGAATAGCAGGTAGAAGTTGAGACCAAAACAAGCTGAATCTACAGGGTGTATGAAGGCCAGTTCCATCACTGATGAAAAAAATTCAAACTTGTGCTTAAACTAGTACTTAAGCTTAACTCTTATAATTAATAACTAAGTCATAACTATGAGATAGCTACTTGTATCTTATATATATGATTATGAAATATATATTTTTTCCATTGCATTGGAGATGGACTTCCATTGGGCCGTGTTACGAGTCTGTAGAAGGACCAGATTTTCAAGTCAACAGTCAGTTAACAGCCATAACAGAAAGGAACAAAGAAAGTTCAGTGAGAACAGATTTCAGATAGCAGCAACATGTTTCCCTCAGCAGTCAGAACATGACAGGTATTGCTTCAGGCACTGCTCTTTCATGTTGCTGTTATTGGAACTAATGGAATCTGCTTAGCACCAAGCCCAACTTTCCACTACACAGCCTGTTACGTGTAGACACAGGTATGCCTGCAGTTGGCTTCATTCTCAAAGTTGTTTGTGTTGCCCTGACAACCGCCATACCAGAACTGTGCACAGGCGTTGGCCTCCGGGTCGTAGTACCACCTAATCCTGTACTGCCGACACGGACCAGTTTCAAGAGGCTGGTTGCACCCCCCACCTGGAGGATGAAGCAGATGATAACTGTTTTGGTGGATTGTGGATTGATCCAATGTGGCAGGTTAATATGTACATAACCTATCTGTTGGTAGCTAGTTTGCAAATAAACTAGTAATATCTACACTGATCTAAATAAACCTTTAATCAACTAAAACTTAATCTTCCTTCCCTTTTCAAGCATTTTACAATTCAATAATTACCGATTCCCAAACCAGTGTGGTAGCATTTAGCTACACCTCTGCTCCACAGTCACACACATAAAACCGGTTGCAGTAATTTACCAGCTCAATTGGCAGTAGATGCTTGGTTCACTTACAGCCTATCTAACACGCTATTATTAATAAGCAATAAATCAATAACTATGTATATCATGACGGACACATGAGTAATATCAATACATAATGCATCTGACAGAACAGTCAGTGGTGTCCAAAGTCGGTCCTGGAGGACCGGCATCCTGCATGTTTTAGTTCTCTCCCTGGTGGTGGTAACAACCTTTTCAGTTTGTCAATGTTCCTCTTAGGCCTCTAACGAGCCATTATTTGATCCAGGTGTGTTAAACCAGGGAGAGAACTAAAACATGCAGGATGCCGGGCCTCCAGGACCGACTTTGGGCACCTGAACTCTGATCCAGAACCACACAGCATTCTGGGAGGTGTAGGCAGAGGAAAGACTTTAAAGTAAAAATACATCCATTATGACTTCAGGGAGGACTTCAAGTATGACAAAAATAATATACTTGCAACATTTTTGTCACAAGTATGACACTGTGACAAAAAATTATTTTTCATGATTTGTGATTTTTAAAAATAAAACAAAAAATATGAAAATATGATTTCTAAACCTGAAAAAAAAACTGTACAAATGAATCATTAACCCAAACACTCCCAGACGTCTGCAGTTCAATCATCTACTGCAGTTCCTTCAAATTAACCACAAGAACTAGTCCAGTCAAGTTTATTTGTACGGAACATTTCAGCAACATGGCAGTTAAAGAGCAGCCATCAATTATAAAGAAAGCAATGAAGATTACATTTTGTCAAATTCCTTCATCAGAACCACAGGTTCTGGTTTTGGGGATGCAGAGTAGACCTGAGACGTCTGGAAGAAAAAAATTATTTTTGTCTATCGGGGGTGCCCAAAGTCGGTCCTGGAGGGCCGGCATCCTGCATGTTTTAGTTCTCTCCCTGGTGGTGGTAACAACCTTTTCAGCTTGTCAATGTTCCTCTTAGGCCTTCTAATGAGCCATTATTTGATCCAGGTGCGTTAAACCAGGGAGAGAACTAAAACATGCAGGATGCCGGCCC